GTTGACTTAGTTTGGACTGCTTTGTTTAATATTTAAGCAAAACTATGTGCAGATAAGATAAACAAATACATTTCTCAACACCTTAACCCCACAAATTTGATATGTTGGATTTCTTTGTAGAAAATCATTGAAAGCGGCAAACTACAAAAAACAGGACTAGTCGCTTGTGATAGATAACCCCTTCCAAGTCCTACCGCAGGGGCCGGAAAGTCAACATACAAATTCAATGAATCATTATAATGAAATTGATTGAAAACCTGTAACTTACAGCAAGGAAGACAAGGACTCATGCCCGTAGCCAGGATTTTTAATGGGGGGGGGGGCTCTTCCCACTGCTTGAGGGGACCTCCAGCGCCATAGGTTCTTAGGGGGTCCGGGGGCATGCTCCCCCTGAAAATTTTGAAAAATGAACCTTCTAAACTGGCGTTTCGTGCATTTTTGAGAGGATTACCAAGAAAAAAATCAGAGATAAATTTTTATTCAATGACAAAGGGAGCAGTTTTTCTACGATTCTAGTCCATCTTTTCAAGAAAAATCTTGGACCTTTACATAAAATGTGGACCAAAAAGTGGACCTTTACATAAAATGTGGACCAAAATGTGGACCTTTATATAAAAAGTGGACCAAAAAGTTGACCTTTGAGCCTTGTGGGGGGGTTCTTCCGAACCCCCCCTGGCTACGGGCTTGCAGGTTTGCAGTCTCAGATTTCTTGTTGTTTTCCTGGTCTGGGGCTTACCATTTCCCCTTCCACAGCAGATGGTCAGTCAACAGGGAGAAGCGAAATTAGTACAAGAAATAGGAAATATTTCTGATCAAAGCTTTGGCAAGGTCAGAACCAAAACTGATACCGACAACATCCGGGAACTCGTCAGACCCATCCGCCTATCCCATCAATCACCTGGTCTTTATCTACCCGGCATGCCCCGCGGCGTGTCAGCAGGGACGGGCTGGCTGGTTTTTGGTTGGTTGGGGAATTTTGGAGGTGATCGCCAGAAAGATCTGAGAGGAAAAATTTGAGATGTCTACGGGCTTTACTCTCCAAGGAGGATTTTATGTACTCTCCAAGCAGAGGTTTGGGTTTGGGCTTATTTTTGACCTGGTTTTTGGTAGTTCTTATCATAATTTCTTTTTTTTTTGTACTGGTATCTTCTGATTTTTTGGCATATTGGAAACTGCCCTGTCAATTTGATATTTTTGAATCTTTATTTGCATGTTTATGCCCAAGGGGCCAAATGCATACATCGGAGTATGATGTTACATGTGTATCATGCTGAGTAACATTGAATAGGAGGGCCTGCAAGCCCTTTTTCGTAAGGTGTAATCAGGCCGTTTTAGACTTCGTAATTCGTAGGCAGCCTCCGCAAAAATCAACGTAATTCGTAATTGGACATTAGCCGCAAATCGTAAAGTCGTAATCAGCTCTGAGACTTTAACGTAATTCGTAATCACTACCCCCCCCCCCCCTTCGCAGGCCCTCAAATAGGATAGAAGGATTCAAGAATGACGTAAAAGTCTAAGGAATACATTCTATCTAATCTAGGTCTTGAACTTCTTCTCTCTTCTGATACTGTCTTGCAGCCACCGAAGGATCTGCTCGGAGAATATGCGGGCCCTACAGGGAGGTTGACAGTTGTTGGAATTCAAACATCTGTGTTACTCGCCAACTCGCAGATTGGGGAAAGGGTGTCCGCCCGTCGACAAGTGGAATCTTATTGATGAAATGGGCTGATTATCTGCAATCTTCTGTCGCTGTTTATTAGCCAGGATGTCAGACTGTTTCCAGGTCCTCAATGCTCTAAATAGGCCAACATGCTAGCCAGGATGTCAGACCGTTTCCAGAGTCCACCACAGGCCAGCTCCTCAACGTAAGACCAACATGCCCCTAAGGAAATTCTACAGCTGCATGTCAATACCTTTACCGTCAACGTAAACATGATCACCAAGAAGGTTATGTTTTCAGCAGCGTTCGTGTGTGTGTCCGTCTGTGTGTCAAATCGATGATGTCCGGTTTGATTCTGGTATGAAGTCGTAAAACTCTAGTTTGCAATTTTTGCACAAGGAAAACATGACGATCTTCCCTCCCCACATCTGCTTGGAGTTCAGTTGCTCCTTGGTGGTCTGACAGCTGAGCCGGTCCCGTTCCCAGGGTACTCTCCCGCCGTTCCCTAGGTAACCCTCCCACTGCCCTGGGCACGTGCCAGCTGCGCGGGAACCTGTCACCCCGTCACCGCACCTGTCCCAAGTCTAGCGTGATGTCCCGAGGGGGAGGGGCGACTTTATCGGCAGATACACACAGCTTCTGGGCTTGATGCGATTCTACCAGTAGAGATCCCGACTAGTCGACTAGAGTCTTCGGCAACATGTTAACAGAGACTCTCATCAGGGTTTACAAAAATCCGAAATTTCATGTCAATCATGAATCAAAATTAAAAAAAGTTCTTAAAATTTACTGAAGTATGGATGTCGACAGTCAACAGTGAAACCTGAGAACCAAACATAATGCATTTTCCTTTCCCAAAACCGCCTCCACGTCTTCTACATTTTCTAAAAGAGATCATAAAAGGTTACACACTTTGATATTTAGGACAACATTAAGGTTGGCATTCATTCCCGCTTGTGTGGGGGCATGGTTGTGATGAAACAGAATACGGGTCCATTTACTTGTGAGGCTTTTAGACATTTTCTAGTCGTCTTGTAACCAGCTGATGCTACATCGATTTTAGATGCGGCGTTTGGGCTTGTATTTTGTTAGCCAGGAAGGCAGACTGTTTCCAGGTTCCTACTGGACCTCAGTTCTTCTTAGAACTAATCTGCAGTTCGTTATGAAGTCGCACGATGGCGCACATGAGCAGACCTCGAACACAAGACACGGAATCACAGAAGAAACAATGTATTTTACCGTTTGAAAAACATGATTATTTTGTGACAAATATTTTTTCAGATACATTAACATTACAAACATATTTCCACATATAACAAAATTCACCAAGCTCCTCTAGAGATACTAGTAACTAAGCAAAAGAATGCAATCTTCAGCGCCCCCTTTCTACGCATGTCGGTACTGCACTACAGCACGGATTATTCCACTTTAAAAGTTCTGGAGGGGTGGCAGCACAAATTTTTTTTTGCTCATTTAACCGAGCAGTTATCCTTTTACTAAGTACTCTGGCCTTCCAACAACCATTATCAAACTGGTGTTACAGACAATTTTTTTTACGTTTAAGGCACAGATATAAAAGCTATTTGCTTTATGTGTATGTTTGACCAAGGACATGTATAAATGTCCTTGGTTTGACCAATACATGATTGCGTACCAGTAGCTAATACTTTCCACACAAAAATTCCACCTGGTATTTCATATAACTCTTTCCTTACTTTTAACATTGCCCCTTTTAAAGAAAAATAAAATATACATTAACAGTAAGGATATCTATACATAGATTTTCAGATATGTATGTTATACACTAAGTGTAAGTGTGTTACACAAAATAAGCATTGATCTGTTAAATCATAATTTCTAGAGCAAAGAAATAATATAACACCAGTATGTTACAAGAATACATAGACTTTCTGAGATATAACTTACATAAATAGCTCACCAAAAATAAAGGAAAATAAAGTTAAAATATCCATGTCATTAGAAGACACATTACAAATATTAAACTAACCTATAACCCAAGTTTTCCCTCTTTATAATTTAGTACTATAGTGCCTGGCAAGCTTGTTGGGTATGAACATTATAATATTGCATGACCATAATGTTACTCAAATATTAAGAAATTCATAAGTACATTTCATTTTCATCAACTTATAAAGACTTCTGTACATGACAATATGGGGATACATGTACATTGTACTTATAAAGTACTATTACATGTACTAATATTACTGTGAACATTTATGAAAAAACACAAAAGGCCACTAAAAGGAACTTTTCCTTTTAAAATTTGTCAGTAAGAGAGTTTGGAATGAACGTAATTCCTCTAACCACTATCTCAAAATGATAAAAATCAGTGCAAATTCCATGAGGATATTGGAATATGTTGTATTGGAAATTTTGATTTGGAATGTTAGAACCTAGAGAAATACAGTCTGATGAAAAGTAGTGCAGACATAACATGATTTTAAAACTTTCTGTAAAATTTCACTTCCTTTTCAATCATTACATATGAATATACACCTGAACATATAGTGTAAGTGTAGCTATTTTTTCCTAACCATAATATATTACCTTTTTTATATCCACAAATACTATACAAAATTGCAGACACGTTGCGTTCTTGATGTATGATGTGTTTTGTTTCGTCCCTGCACTGAAGCATTCAGACGAAAACAAACTTCAGAATGTCATCAAACAAGAAACAACATCATACTTTTTGGAGTTAAAACTTTTGGTCCAACACAAAAAAGTGCTCTCACCTAGAGTTTTCGACCAGTCACTCTGGTCTTCCTCAGTAGACTGACCCAGTGAAGCTTGTCACATGGCTTCTTTGAAGTATGAGGAAGACCAGAGTGACTGGTCGAAAGCTCTAGGTGAGAGAACTTTTTGTGTTGGATCTAAAGTTTTAACGTCAAACATCTAACTACCAACACAGATGAACATTCATGATATCATAAGAAGTTGAAAGTCTGACAATCATGATTCTTATCGGTCCTTTTTTACGATTCTGATTGGTCCTGGATTTCCTCGGCTCTTCTGCGTTTCTCGGCATCGCATGCTCGCTGGTAGAGCACGACTCCGGCCAGGACCACCATGGACCCCAGCCCGCTCAGTACGGTTATCGTGTTGCCGAACACGAGAACACTCAGCCAGATCAGCAGGGCTCGCTTAGCTGTGTTAGCCACACTGTGCATGTGGGGAAAAAACACTGCCCATCAATTTTAACTCAGAATCTTACACCACTTTTTGTGACAGCTTTGTGTGCATGTGCAGGTGTTCCATACATACATGTGTTGGTGTGTGGCAAGTGTTTCCTTACCTGTCTGTGAGAGGTGTGTTGCAGGTGTTCCCTAAAGCCATCACACTATGCAGGTGTGTCACAGGTGTCCCTTACCTGTGTGTTCAGGTGTATGTGTTCAGTTGTGTGTACAGGTATTACCTGTGTGTGACAGGTGTATGTGTTCAGTTGTGTGTACAGGTGTTATCTGTGTGTGACAGGTGTGTTACAGGTATAACCTTACCTGTGCGTGACAGGTGATATCCTCTGCATGAGTGCGTAGGCTGTCACACTCTGTAGGTGAAACGAGACACCTGGGTGTAACAGGTGAGTGTGTGTACAGGTGTTACAGGTGTTCCTTACCTGTGTGTGACAGGTGTGTGTACAGCTGTGTACAGGTGTTCTTACCTGTGTGTGACAGGTGATATCCTCTGCATCAGTGCGTACGCGGTGACACTCTGCAGGTGTGTGTACAGGTGTGCATGTGTATAGGTGTATACAAGTGTTCCTTACCTGTGTGACAGGTGTGTGATAGGTGTTCCTTACCTGTGTGTGACAGGTGATATCCTCTGCATGAGTGCGTACGCGGTCACACTCTGCAGGTGAAACGAGACGCCGTCGAACAGCAGGGCCATGAGGATGTGTCTGTCCAGATGCCTCCTCCTGCCGCGCCCGATGTACAGCTGCTTCAGAGGGAGGTCCTGGAAGAAAGTTCAAATAAAAGTTACAATAAGTCTTTTTCCTTACACTATAAAATTAGTCCCAAGGTTTGAATTACTCACTGTTGTACCCTCACACACACTTAAAAGTCTGCACCTAAACGTACTGTATACAAAATCGCATGTTTGCAAATATTGTACAAGCAATTTGAAGAATACATGCAAAATTAATTTGAATATTATAGAGTCAGTGGTAAACACAAAAGCTCGTGAACACTGATTTTTTTTAGTCTGCAAAATTACAGGTTGCTTGAATTTTTTTCTGCAATATTGAAAATGTCTCTGCAAAATGCAGACTGCAGGTGGGTGTTTCTAAGACTGTGTAATAATCTGAGTTACTTACAACAAAGAACCAGGCTGGTACCAGGAGGACCAGGGCTGCACTACTCATGTAGAACTGCAGCTCCAGGGGTCTGTATGGGGGGAGACAGGTGGAAATACTTTAGGCGATGAAGGTTAGCCAAAAAACAGTCACCGGTACTCAAGCAACTGGATATGATTTTGGAAACGGTCAAATTCAAAAATCATATCCACTTGCTTGAGTTTTTTGGCATGTAACTACATTGTGTCATTTCAACCAGATACATAAGAATGTAAGGTTCCTATAAGCTGGGTCATAGTTTGTACTTCACATGTCTGAATATGTCAATGTCATCTAGAATTACATGTTGATTGTGCACACATTCAGTTTGTGAAAATATAACAAGATCAGAATACTCACGAATATTTATGTTTGTCATTGCTTAGCAGCTTCTTGGAGAAAACATTTTGAAAGCTGGAAAGAAAAAAAGGATGATATAATATAAGTCTGGAACGGAAATGCTGAAATTCCAACTTTTCTTTCTGGTCAGATAAGATACTAGATGGTTGCCAACAAGTTCACTACTAAACTAGACAGGTAACATTTACCTTCACTTGGTCTAGACTAACAAAGTGACGCTCAAACACATTCATATATACTAGTACAAATGTACATGGATACCAGCGCTTCTCCAACTTGTTACATACTGTAATCCAACATGACAATTACAATGGTGACAGCCATCCAGTCCAGGTCATTGACCTTATGTGTTTGGAGAAGACGAAGAAACAGGACAAAAACAACCACACTAACATCTTATTGAAGTACTTACCATTCCACGATGTTGGTAGAGATGGCAGCCATGAATCCGATGGTGTTGAAGCTGAGTTCTGAGGACGAGCAGAGCGCCAGACCCCCCATGATGGGGATGAGGGAGAGCGAGACCCAGAATCCCGTCTTCTCCCGCAGCATCATCCACGTGATGAGGACCGTGAACATCGGAGCCGTGCTCTTGATCGTTTCCACAAACGAAGCGGCGACGTTCTTCAGCGCTAGGAGAGCCAGAATTGTGGTCCCAAATCTGTGGAAACAAGAAATCTTGTACTAGTACTGTATAATGTTCATAACAACCAGTTTATGTACAGTTTATGCATAGTTTCAACTTGATCTACTCTTACTAAAAGGATAAAGATGGGGTGTTCTTCTAGGAGAGCCAGAATTGTGGTCCCAAATCTGTGGAAACAAGACACTGAATGAATCCTGAAGAAAAGCTTTATTGTACATACATACCTGCTGGGTTAAGTACAGGGCACAACAAAGAAAGAACTAAATGTACTATGTATACATTGTAACATTATTCTATTGGATATTTTGAGGCCCGCACGATAACTCTTAGAACCCATGTGATATGGCTAGTTATCACACGGGATGGAACATTACTGCTGCCCAGGTAATGAGGTACTATTACATAAATAAAGTAAATAGTCCTCTCACACTCACTGTCCTTTTTATTGTGTAGTAAAAGGAAAAAAAGGAGTGTTTTAAGAACTGTAACATTACCTGAGAACTCCGCCTATGGTCATGTTGAACAGGAAGTTCGGAGGAACAGATTTCCGCCCCGGCGCTCGCCCGATGCCCGTCTGTCCGCACGGAAGTCTCAGCTGGATAAACCCGAACACCGTCGTACACAAGATCTGCCACGCCCCCAGGAACTGAGCATTCAGGTCCATCTCTGACAGGATGTACTTGTTCAAGATCAGCGTACAGAAGCTGAAGAAGTACCACAGGAAGAGGAAGATGACAGCCCCCTTCTCTAGGAGACCCTTGTTTTCTGGAGTGGCGTCTTTCGACTCGACTTGCATCTGTGTGATTTTGATCAGCTCCTGTTCGTTGATGGTTAAGTGTTTCGGGTCGTGAAGCATCTCGGAGTGGCTGTAGCTTCGCGGAGCATCGAACGAATCGTTCGCGACGCTGCCGTCGGTTGAACCGTCCCCGAAACTAGACCGGTGGGGCAGTGTCCTGTCCGTGGAAGGGTAACGCTCATTTTCCGAGTGGGAGTAGCTTCGGGCTCGGCTGGAATGTCTGTGGTCGCCTGAGGGAGTTCGCTTCCGACCGTGATCGTTTTCGAACGAGTCCCTCCGTACTTCTGTCTCATCTTCGATGCGTACTTCTTCCATGCTTAATACTTTAAGTGTCGTCGTTTGTTTTCAAGACTCTAACTCTAAGTGTTTAAGAAACTGTACTGGAACCACTGGTACTCAAGGAATGGTTGATATGGCGTTTTGGAAGGATGTGCAGTTCTGAATAAGGAATGGAGATTTTTTGTTTGTTCAAACTTGTAGAAATTCTTTCGGGATGTTTCAAGTTTTCTTCACAGTTCAGCAGTTAGTACTGTTGGATTTAATTCTTCAGCAATAGGTGGTGGAACCTACAGAAGAAAAAACAAGTTCATTTTTTTTTACTGTTAATTTGTTTTTGTCATGCTACATTGTACAGATTGCTGAGGTATTTTGGCCAGTCTGGTAAGTTACTCACCTTCGGGAATAATCATCATAATTATAATAAGAATACTAGTAATTAGTGTCTACCAAGAAAGGAATTTTCTGACACTGTTGTCAAACATTTCAAACAACAAATATGGAGTAAAAATAGCAAGGAAAGATCATAGCCCTCCAAATCAGACTGAGAGTCCCACCAAATCTGGTCACTTCTGGTCACCATATGTTTAAATGGCCACGTAAACAGGCTACACTCCACTGATGATGCAACAACGTAAAAGTCCAACGCTGACATCATTTACCAAACATCCAACGTTATCAACTTCAAATAATGATGATGAAACTTCAAACGAACGTTGCGTGTGTATACATACACGCAAATTTACCATATGGTCATAATTCATAATTCTGAAATTTTTAATAGAATGAATGTACCGAGAAAAAATAGTGTTTACGGGCTACTTACAACAGGCAGTTTCTCGGAATAGATTGTCATCGCTGCCCTTTAATAGATATCGATTAAAAAGGTGAGAGCCAAAAAAAATACGGAAAAGTTCACTCACATAAACACACACACGGACTTAATGCAAAACAGGTGGCAGGACTGTAAACATATGGTGGCGGTGGCCACGTCAGCGCTTCTGTTTACCGCAAAAATGGTGGAAAATACGGCAGAATAAAGCTGTAGACGTACCGAATGTTGTCCCGACCCGGAGCTGTCGTGGTTTTGTAAAACACTCCTGCGTCCCGGTCGAGCTGGTTCGACAACTCGGCAACCCGGAACAGGGCGCAGCCATCTTGCCTTCCCGGCACGCACCGCGACAACTCACCTGGCGTGACCTCTGTTTGAACCCTACAAAATACCGGAAAAAATCCACAATTTCGACCTAAAACTTAAACAAAAACTTCAAAGAAATTTTCCTTTTTAAATAAATGACTCTGAACTGCATAGAAACGGGGAAATTAGAACTGTTCTTTACTATTTTTGGATGACTCGAATTTGGTGTCAGAGGTCAAATTAAATCTGCCGCCATTTTTTGACCCAAACAAAGAAGTCGCCAGGGGGGCCACGTGAAGGTGAGATTGTGTTTTAACCTGTTCTTTAACAATCTTTTTAGTATAAGCTAAGGGATTATGATGTTCTTGTGTGTCTCTTGGTCAGGGACAGTTTGGTAGAGAAGCTGTATGTGGTAATAGCAGGTCAATTTCCGTTTTATGTTTTTAAAGGTATCAAAATTAGAACATGTTTAGCCTAGTACTAGTAGCCCAAATTATGCATGATGCATTACTAGTGAATTACAGTAATTGTTTCAACCACGAACTTAATAAAAAGGCGACAAAACCCCCTTTCCCCTACTACCACAAAATTAAGTCCAAGCAAAAATAACTGAAAGTACAGTAGATCCTATATTATAGGCTATATTATGCATTTCAAGTCTGTTTCTGAAAAAAAAAAAAAATTATCAAGAAGGTTTAAACCACGTGATTTTGTACCTCCAGGTTTAAACCTAGCCTGGGTATCATCCGGATTTTGCTCCGCTATGCTTGGAAAAAATCAAGGGAGCAAAATTCGGATGGTATCCGGGCTAGGTTTAAACCCATATAACGTTAAAAGTTAAACGTTATACTAGTAAGTTATTAAAATAACTTACTAGTATTAGAACAAAATTATGTTGACTCCCCTCTATCTACCTCTAGGTTCTAACTGTGTGTTGCAGCCAGTATGGCTCAGGGGTCCAACACCACCGGCGGTGGCTTTGACTTTGGCCATGGTCACGGTACAGCAGTTGCCATGGCAACGACAGTTGGAGGGTTGCTGATCATTGGCCTCCTATTGAGGAAGGTCTTCAGGTTAGTCAACTTGTTTTTATCAAGTATCAACGTTTGAAACACTATCTCATCAGTAGATCGATCCCATGGCCTTGGCCACCTTTGTCAAAATGTTAGAAATGCATTTTAATGCCTGAGCAAAACCAATGTTGCATGATTTTTCTTCCTACGCAACATTTGAAAACGGGATGTCATCCTTAAATATGTGAATTCGACCTGAAACGAGAGGTTCTGCCAAAGACAAGTGCTGTACAAATAATCTCCAAGCAGATCATACGGTAGCAACTTAGTATCCATTGGCCAGAGGAGTGTCCATTAGCCACTGAAGTGCGGCCAATGGATACTGTCCGGCTAATGTATACTACCTGGCCAATTTAATACTGTCTTTTGTGGCCACTGAAAGATCTATTTGGAGATTAGTGCACAACTTATATTACTTGTGTGCAATACAGATACTAGTATGCTTGTATAATTGATGAAATGTTGTTTACCTGCAGAGCTCCCCCTAGTGATGTAGAGGTGAACTGCTGGTTCTGTCAGACAGACTGCACAGTTCCTAACGGCAACCAGAACTGCTGGGACTGTCCTCACTGCGACCAGTACAACGGCTTTCAGGAGGTATGTCTTACTGTAGTTGTACTGTAGTTGTAGTGTAGTTGTACTGTAGTTGTAGTGTTGTTGTACTGTAGTTGTAGGGTTGTTGTACTGTGGTTGTACTGTAGTTGTGCTGTAAGAACTGCTGGGACTGTCCACACTGTGATTAGTACAACGGCTTTCAGGAGGTATGTCTTACTGTTGTTGTACTGTAGTTGTACTGTAGTAAAGCTTTATTGTATGTGAGAAGTCACTGAGTCCTGCTGGGACTGTAATACAAAAGAAATACAAAACATGTACCGGTATTCCCTGGTATTTGCGATGTCATGGTTTCATTGTGAAAATATTAATGCATAAGTTCAGTACCTGGTATATCCTGATGAAAGCTTCTGAAATATCAAAAACAGTTACTCAAGCAACTGGATGTGATTTTGGAAATGGCCAGACATTTCAGGTAGCATCCACTACCTTCTAAAGCTTCTGAAATATTAGCCAAATCAAAGTGTTTAGATTGTGTTAACAACTTGATTCTTGATTCTGAGGAAGTATGAATCCTACTTATGAATCTGTATTCCAGGACGGTGACTACAACAAGCCCATCCCAGCCCAGTTCCACGAGGAGCTGAACTATGCCCAGGTGTCGGCTGTCCCTGCACCTGATGCCACACCTGCGCGCACCTGGAACATCCTGTGCCCCAGCTGCAACAGGAAACAGGTGCTCAAGGTGCAGCAGCTGGCTGAGTTCGTGCCCACAGACGAGGTTTGTTCATCATCATCATCTTCCATATTGCTCAGCCCAATAGCAATTGGATTATTAGCAGCTGCACGTGTGTTAGATACAAAACAAGGGACAGGTACAAATAAAACATAATAACTGTCTCTGTGGGTGTAAAAGACAAGACAAGTGCATTTAGTGCATTAGTAATATATGTACAAGATCAACCCACAGGACAGAGACAAGTGGTGAGCACCATCAAGCCCCAGATGTATTGTGCAAGCACGTCTAACCCTCGGAAGATGGGGAACAACAGACGATAAACCAGACAGTTAGTGAGTGAGTGAGCGTACAATACGTGTAGGGGCAACTCAATGCGGCAGGGACCTCACCAGTCCAGTTTTGAATGCCACACCAGGCACAAGTTCATTCCACTTTTTGATGGGAGAACGAGAGCCTGTCGTAGTCGGTACTGAAGCAAACACGCTACCGTTTACGCCACACGACCCCACATTGCTTACATTGTCTATGAATGAAAGGAGTGTCATGCAACATATGTATTCTTATTTTTACCAGGCTACCTATGATGAGGAAGTAGAGGCCTACAGCTGGCATCTGGAGCAGCTGCACCAGGTGTGTGGGCCCTGCCAGGTGGCTGTCGGCTGCCACCTGCGCAGACAGGACCAAACTATCCTGGCTGACTTCATGGGGGGGCGTCTGCGGAGATTCCATCCCCGCAACTATGCTGTGAGTCTCAAATCATCTCAAGCATTTCTCAAAAACTTTGCTTTGTTGAGCCTTTGCTTATTCATGAGAAGCTCAAATTGGCCTGCGGACTGCTTTTCACTGATGTCATAAGGGAGGAGGTCAGACAAAATATGTAACCATTTAAAGTATCATTTAAAGTCCTAATAAATCTATACACATGTACATACATGGTACAAAATACATACATATGAGTGAGAGCTGATATATGGTCATTTTGGGCATTTCTGATTGCTGTTAAGAGTCTTAAAAAGTTAAAGGGGCCATGTGTGTATCTGGTGGTAGACTGTTCCAGACTATGGGTCCATTTTAGCCTATGGATCGATTGTACTCCTTTTCAGGAATATGGGCTTATGCAGTACCTTTTCTATCCAACAGGGGGCTCTGCTGACTGTGAAGACCCCAGCACACATCACCATACTGAGACTGGTAGCAGCCACAGTGGCAGCCCTGCTACTGCTGCTGAACCTTCTCAGGAGTAAAACATTACCAGCAAACCTGCAGGAGAAACTACCGGACATCCTGCGTGATTTTGCAGAGACAGACTCTGTGTACACTGTGGTGTTTGTGGGCCTGTTTGTCAAACTTACTGCTGTGTTACTGGCAGGCAAGGACAGGTGGGTTTACTACAAAAGTAAAAGGAATGGTTGAAAGTTTCCATGTACATGTATTTATAAAAATGTTCTTCACCTGTTTATCCAAAATCCAAAACTTCACACGCATTGAACCTAATGTAATAATGGGGTTCAAGCGCCACTAACTGATATCCTTTCCAACTGGTTTGGACCTTTTTGACTATTAGATGTTGGTGCACTTGTGGCGTAAGCTGGCTGCCCGAGAGTCAGGGTTTTTCCTGTTTCTATTCGCTCCTGTTTGTTTTACTATAATACCTTGTGAAAATTTAGTTCTGTTTCTCTTAAAGTGGATTTAGATGTGAAAATATTTCTCAGGCATATATTTTTGATAATGTTTATTTTCAGGTTAAGAAGCAGAGATGCGCTGTGTGTGTTGCTGTGGCTGCTGACCCTGGTGGTACACATCCCCTGGGGTGTGGGGAAACTTGCCCCAGGGGTGGGGATGGTACCCCCCGTGGCCCAGACGTGGAGCTATGTAGCCATCAGTACATCCAGCCTCCTGGCCACTCTACTCTGTGTCTTTGGGAAAAACAAGAAAGTGCAGCAGCCAAAAAAGACAGAAACTTTAAGGTGATTTTTTTTGTTTGTCTTTTCGTGGCTTCCAACTTTTCGTCGAACTTCGAAGCATTGATGTCATTTTTGAATAGGATTTAATGTATATTTGAATATAATTTGATTTGATATTTTACTGATCCTTCTACAGTGTATACTAAATCATCACTGAATGATTTTCCCCCCACTTCCATTTTTCTGTAATTTTCTTCAACAGTCTTTCTAGGAATGGAAGTTACAGAAAGTAATTTCAGTAATGTGAGAGGTACTAAGAAAAACAGCAGTACATGTATATTGCATATATCTGCAAGGTTTCGTTTCCTTTCCCCTTCTTTCCCACCTTTCTACATTATGTGAATTAATTATGAAAGTAAAATGTTAGGCAATGCTTTTCTTGAATGTCTTTCCTTGCCAATGTATGTTTGTAATTGTAAGAAATAACAATTTGAAGGATTCACTTTAACACTTAAAATCACCATTTCTTCCAGACCCTTGTCTCCATGGGGAAGTGATGCATCCTATCTAAGTGGGTCTCCTCCAAGTGTTTCTTCCACACTCAGCACCTCAGCCTACTCCACACCCAGGCCTCGGTCACCTCTTCACAGTGTCCGCCAAAACCCCAACAGAGCCCCAGACAGCTTCGATACCCTGTCTATAGGGAAGCACAGTGTCGGCCAAACCCCCAACAGACCCCCTGTGCCCGACAACTTTGATACTCTCTCTATAGGGAAGCACAGCTGTAGAAGTTCATACAGTCACTCAGGTATCATTTTTTATACACATTCTTTGTCTATGACTAAAGTTTAGTCCATATAAGTTGTATAAGTTGATATTAGTAGATGAACAATAGTACATAATGTTATCTTAAAAGATATACTAGTAATTTTGGTTTTAAGTGTTATAATATAGTATTGTTAGTGTTCTGTACTCCATGTCTTTCATGCCCGAGATCACATATGGTCACATGTGTATGTCTGAAACTGATGGTATACAATTGGAAAGACAATCACAATAATCATCATTTCCTCATTGAAGGCAGACCTAATTCGATTTTTCTCCACCCCTCTCCACAGGACCATTTGGTTTCTCCCACGACTCGCCAGCTTCCCTGTTCTCAGGCTCCAGAAAAACCTCGCCACAGTTTACAAACAGTCCGCCACGACTCGACACAACGTTGCCAGAAACTAGCAGAACTTCGCTACAATTCGATACAGGCTTTGGTGGCGTTACGCAATCAGGGAGAAACTCGCCACAGCTTGACTCAACTGTGACGAGAAGTTTGCCACTTTTTGATACAACGTTGCAACCGCAGTTTGGTAAGAGTCCGCAATTCGGGAGGAACTCGCCACAATTTGGCGTTCCGACGAGCTGGGTTCGCTACAGATCTCAACGACCAATCATCAGCCCGGCAAAGTTCCAACCACCGTCGCGGCGCGCCCGACAGAGCCCATCGCGCGAGCTGATTGGTGTAAAGTCGCTCAGTATCCATGACGATGGAGAAATCAGGAGGAGACCTCGTCAGCTGTTCTCGGACGGGGACCAACCACTAACAACCGCACTGGAGCAGGAAGGTGAGGGATGGGTCATTACTGATACTGAAGGGGTCAGGTCTTGGAGAGTACAAGACCTTGAATTGATAATACATGTTATTTACTCCATTTCTTCATATTCTTCTTCTTCTCCAAATAAATAAGATCAATGACCTGGACCAGATGTCTGTCACCATGGTAACTGATGCTGTACAATATAGCATAGGTGTTGGATTACATTATGTTATTGGCATCGTCATTGTCATTATGTAGCAAATTGCAGGATGGGCTGGTCACCATATCAGTATATTATGTAAGTATGAGTATGAGTAAGAATAAATAGAGCAGTGTGTTAGGTTATACCGAGGTAAAAATTATGCATTTGCTTTTCAATTGTTACCTTTCGAGTTTACAAAATGTGAAATATAGATGTGTTTTGTCCAGCCGATGCCCAATATGAGACGTCGTCTGCGTACGGCAGCGCGAGCGTTTCTGGTAGCGATGCCGGCAGCAGCGATGGCGGGAACACGACATCGTCCTGCCGCGTACACAGCACGACCTCTGACCCCGCGGAGAACCTCTGGCGACCTGTTACGCAGACGGAGAAACCTTCAAGAGGTGGGCAGACAACTTTCAGGGTCATTCAAGGTCATAAAAGTACTGGTAATAACAGTTGTCTGGTATTGAAGCTTACCATTCGTTGAGCATTGAAGGCCCCTTGTATACAGTTCATTTCTGGACCATACTTTGTACATGTCCAGACATGTTTTGTTTATGTCAGTGGCCTTCAGCTTTCACATAATTGTTCATTGACCTACAGACACACCAGAAAACTCATATACATTTAAGTAGCTTAAGCCATTCTGTATCTTTATTGGTTTAGCCAGTAAAACTGCCCTTCTGCATAACACACCAACTTCGAAATTTTGTTATATTCTCTCCCCAGCTCTTTGATGAAATGTTGTTGCCAGAAATATTGACTTTAACTCCCTGTTTTGTTGTTACAGGTGCAGCTGGAAGCTCCTTCCTATGGAAATGGTTGTTTGGCCTGAGTGTGGGCTGTAACACAGTACTGGTGGCTTATGTCGTCATGCAGTTTTTGTCAAACTATCAGTCATAAAAAAGTGTGTCCGAAAAGAAGAACAGTTTTTGTTGACCTATCAGATGTACATTGCATGTGAGAGAAACAAAATGTACCATATATTTTGTTGCATTTTTTTTTACAAGAGTTCTTACTTTTATGAACAAATATCTGAACAAAATTACTGATATTTTCCTACATCTACAACCTCAATGTGCCTGGCAGAACGTGTTGGAAAGATTTGGGTCAGGATTTCTGATAAGAGCAAACATGAAAATTGTGACTTTCTTTGTTGAAAGCTGCATTTAGCAGTTAGATCACTGCAGAATCATCCAAGATGTGAAATGTGGCAAGATGTGAAATGGCATCTTGGGGAACCAGTTATATCTCTCCACAATTTACCGTATCAGAATTATTTGTATCAAACTGTATGGTATAGTGCAGTACTGACATGCATAGATAGGGGGCGTCCAAGATTGTGATCTGCGACTTACTAGTACTTATTTCTTAGCCTCTACCAGAAACCGCGGATCGCTGGAAAAATAGTAGAAATCGGCCGAAATAAAGGAATAATATACCAGGGGAGGTAGCCGGCCAGAGAAGATCCAATTCACGACCCGTGGGTCGATTTCTACTATTTTTCCAGCGATCCGCAGTGCCTGGTAGAGGCTACTTATTTCTTAATCTCCAAGCAGATCCTAGGGTGGCAAAAGACAGTATCCATTCGCCAGAGAGGGTCCATACGCCACCCAGGGAATGGATACTGCCTGGCCAATTGGATACTGTCTTTTGCCACCCTAGGGTCTGGACTCTGGTTGGAGATTAGTTATTTCTATTGATGAGCTTGCTGTTTGATAACAGCGCAATCAATAAATGGGTTTTGTCCTTTCACATGGGTCAATGCTTCTTAACAAAGTCTAATATTTTCTGACAGGAAAATTGTTGAGATGCTTATTTCAGCCGAATTATCGAGTAACTGGGTCATACATATCAAATATCGTGTTCAGAGTAGTGAACACACAATTAGATGTCTGGATATAGACAGGTTTTGTTCCCTTGGATGGGTCAACAGTTTTCAACAAAGAGCCTGATATTTTTGGCATGAAAAGATTTGAAATGCTCATCTTAGCTCAATTATGGAGCGTCCGGGTCATATGCAAAAATTAAATGTCGAGGTTGAAGAATTGAGGGGTCAACGAACTGTCTGAGTTATGTGAAGGTTTTTTTTAACCAAAAAAATATGATCATGAGCTGTTTAAGAAGATAAGGATCACATTCTTCAAATACTGGTAGAATGTCATCTGTTCCTAAGTTAACACCACAGATACTCTTTATGTCAACCACTATTCTTCAACCTCCAGGTTAAATTATACTCTAACTTTAAGCATTCAGAAGATAAACTTTCTGGTCTAGTCTTAAAATTTGTATTCAAATTCAAAGCTGTCTTCGTATGCGTTGTTTTTTTTTTGGTCAGAATACCAATCTTCGAGACTGTAGCACTGTTCAAGGTAATCTCTCCAGAACATCTTTCATCCAGTTCGACCAGTTTCTACCATATTTGTAATCTCCAAGCAGATCCCTTTCGGTGGCAAAAGACAGTATCAAATTGGCCAGGCAGTATCCATTAGCCAGAGAAGGTCGCCAGCCACCGACGGTGGGGGTGGGGGGAGCGACAAAAAAAACGGCCATATATAAAAATGTAACGATCATTCCCCCTCAACATCTGCTTGGAGAGTACCATTTTTGGTCATTGACCTTTCTGCCTGCTGTCCAACCCCAGCAGGGGGGGGGGGGATTTGAAAAGACGATGAGATTGACGACATTTTGTTATCGGTGTCCTGAGATGCCCTGTCTGGGGATCTTGCCAGAACAGTTCATTAACGCATCATAAATACACTCCATATAGATGGGTGCGGTCTGACTGACTGTCCAATGAACACAAACAAAATGGACACAGTAGACAGGTGGTCGTTATAGACAAAATTCTTAACGCTTAGAGTAGCTAAAGAGTAGCGCCACTACAAGTGACCACAGTGGTCCTTATAGGAGAGGTGGTCATTGACACAGGATTGACTGTCATCGTTTCAACATTTCGGCCAGGTCATCTAAGGACACAGGCGACAGTTTTGTTGTCTCTGTCCTTAGATGCCCTGTGTTGTGTAATTTTCTCAAAACAGTAACTTAGTAACACATCATAAATCCAGGTTATGTAGATAGAAGAAGAATAGTTTTATGTAGCATCGTTAACCGTTAACTAGAAAGAGGACACATTTCTCGTAACGCAGACCTGGACACTGCACAATAATGACATTTGGCAAGCTAGGATTCTAAATGCTATAAAAGTCTACTATAAAAGTGCCACCAAAAAGTGACCACTGTGCACGTACGTACGGTGGTCATTAGTACAGGTCTGACAAAGTGTGGTGGGTTCTTTAACGTGCGATGGGTATGGCTCTCCCCAAACACGGGACCTCCATTTAACGTCCTATCCGAGGGACGTCCCTAACCGAAGCTAGGTACTCATTTACACCTGAGTGAAGTGAGGAAAGTCGTGTTAAGTGCTTTTCCCTAGGGCACAACATAAGTGGCATGTCAGGACTCGAACCCGGGACCTCTTGGTCATTAGCCAAACCGCTACCACTACGCCATGCGACCCCACAGGAAGTCATGCATAATGAAGTCAGTGTGGCCTTAAGCACAATGCATAAAGACGTCATAGTCGACGTCACTACTAGCATCCCGGTGTGTAGAAACAAAGGGGGCCTGCATGCCCTTTTTCGTAAGGCGTAATCAGGCCGTTTTAGTCTTCGTAATTCGCGTAGGCAGTCGCCCCAAAAGTCAACGTAATTCATAATAGTACACAGCCGCAAAGCGCAAAGCGTAAAGTCGTGATCAGCTCTGGAAATTTAACGTAATTCGTAATCGGCGGCGAAAATTTTGCGTAATTCGTGATCACTGACCCCCCCCCCCATTCAGGCCCTCAACAAAGACTAGAGACGTCAACAACAAATCACAGCTGAATTTTGCCTCTGGCTGGAGTTACTTCCAGCATTAGGCAGGACCCGTGCAGGTCAAGTGAAGGTCGCCAGACAACACTAGTCTCTGTTAGTCGACTGCTCTATTAAATTAATGTGGGTGCTGAAAGAACAGATATACTGATCATTGAACCATCTCAACGAAAGTTTTCCTGTCAGAAAATATTATGACAACTTGTACGCCAAATGTGCACGGCTTGGCCTCTACTAGGCTTCGGGAGGCGCCTGGAAAGAGTAGAAATCGGCCAAATAGAGAGATAGCATGCCGGGGGAGTTGGGCGGCAAACTGTTCTCTCCAGCAGACCAACTCCCCTGTCATGCTGTTTCTCTCTTTGGTCGATTTCTACTCTTTCCAGCCGCCTCCCGAAGCCTGGTAGAGGCTAGACACGGTTGCAAGTTGCCACTACCGGAAAAATCATACTCTTGAGCGGACCAACTCAACTGGCATGTTATCTGTCTATTTGGCCAATTTCTACTCTTTCCAGCCGCTTCTGAAGCCTGGTAGAGGCTAATCACATAGCTGGTCCAAAGAAATCTGCTTGGAGATCAACTCACTCATAAAATTCCCAATAGCAAGGACAAGTCTAGCTCTTAGCTCTCCTATCTGCATACTTCATCTAATCATACAAAATTGCCCGCCTTTTGTATGTGGGAAGTGGCCTGTGTTAAGTTTACAATGGGAAGATTGCTAGCCATGGGGGTGTGGGGCATTTGCTTGGCGTATACTAGTATTACTATCATCTAGTACTTGTTGCTACTCAAAGTATTTGCCCGGCTTTAGTGCTCTTTTGAAAGGCGAATTCCAGTGTTGCCATACATATAAATCAGTGTTCCAGGCGTTTTTGTATGGACTCAAAAATGACCTCGGAATTTGTGCATATTTTGAGGAGGGGGAGGGGGCATTTGCTCGGCGTATATTTACTAGTATGTAATACCAGAGAGCTTTAAACGTTGTTACCCGAGCTAGATACCCGAATTTAATGCTGCTTTATATCATATTCCAGTATTACTACATATAAGCATGGAGGTAAAATTTTACCTCCATGATATAAGTCATTTTTTTTCTAGATGTTTCTATGTGAACTCAATGACCTCGGAATTAGTGCGTAAGCCTCTTGAACATTTATCACTGTCAGTGACATTTCTTTCGGGGAGGGGGGGGGCATTTGCTCTGCGTATACAAGTACTATATTCCAACATGTAATCACAAGACGTGGTGACATCACACTCAAGTATTTTTCAACTTATATTAATGCCGCCACCAACACGGGACAATACAATACTCATTTTCACCTGAGCGAAGTGCGGAAAGTCGTGTAAAGTATGTGACAAGGTATGTGACATGTCAGGATTCGAACCCGTGACCTGTGAAGCATTTACCACTGTCAGTGATGGGGTCACCAGGTGTCCTCTCTTCAAAACAAACCACTCAAGTAAAAACATCACGACATTTCGTCACGGCCTTTCAGATTGTTAAACACAAACAGGGCAGCCAGACAACACGTCAGAGAGTGTCCAACCAACCGCATGTACCAATGGCCCGAAGATTATCGTGGGGTCGTGTAGTGTAGCGGTAGAGTGCTCGACTCGGAACCAAGAGGTCCCGGGTTCGATTCCTGACATGCCACCGATCTTGTGCCCTTGGGAAAGATGTCCTTCAACCCTGGAACCTTGAACGGGGGTATCAGAGGAGGTCAACACGAGAGACAATGATGGGTTCTTCTTCTTAATCTCCAAGCAGATTCGGTGGGGCAAGGGGACTTTATGTTGGCCGCCTGTATCCAACGTTCGCCCCACGAGTGGCCAATGGATACAGGTGGCTAACATAAAGTCCCCTTGCCCCACCGAATCTGCTTGGAGATTATGTTCTCCTCCCCTCCATCAGTGAGCGGAGTTCTGCTGTGGTGATGCTTCTGAGCCCAGCATCCCGCTTCAGGGTGTCGATGAAAGTTATAGTTCTTGTGCCCCTTCTCTCCCTTCCGTCTGCCGGCTCTATTTTTTTCAAAGAAAAGCTACAGAACTTGGCAATTCCAAACAACACTTCGTTGTACAATTCACAATGATAAGAGCTACAAACGTACGTTTGCGCCAACGAAAATATTCCAATAATCTTAAAGTTATAGTGAAAGTATTGATTTTTAATTAGGCTTGCCCTTAAGAATCTAAAAGGTCATAACAAAATGGCGGAGGTGTTTTGAACACCTGGTGTCAGTGGGGGGGGGGGCACAGGTGTCAGTGACCTCACTTCTGGGACACTGGCCGACAGTAACACCGGAGCATACCGACGAGGTTAAAAATCAGAAGGTCTCTTGTAATCAACATTCTTTGAACATACCCCTAAAGCCCCTGTAACACACACTGCGAAGATATGCCACAGTGGCCCTACGGTAGTATGTAGTTACCTTCGCCAAGAAGGTTATGTTTTCGTTGGCGTTCGTGTGTCTGTGTGTGTGTGTGTGTGTGTGTGAGCACGATAACTCAAGAAGGCTAAGATGGATTGTCTTGATACTTGGTAGGTGGGTAGGTCTTCATGAGACGTGGAACTGATTAGATTTTGGGCCCCCTAGCGGCTTGTTATGGTACTGCAGCTGAACTTCCGGTTTTGATATCTCGTGATCTAGACATGCTAGGGTGACAAAATTTGGATGGAAGGTAGCTCTTGTGCTGGGGAACAAGTGACGTGAGTTTGGGCCCCCTAGCGGCTTGCTCTGGGACTGCAGGGACATTAGTTGAAAAATGTTTAAAGGCGGATAACTCAAGAACCGACTGATGGATCGTCGTGATTTTTAGCATGTAGGTAGCTGAAGCGATGCTTGACATAATGATATTACAATTATGCAAATATTAATGTAATTTGCATAATTAATGAGGAAATTCTATAAATCAGCTGCATTCCATGATAGGACGATTCAAGCTTGTGACATGTAATTCAGAACGGCAGAAATACAGGCAGATATTGATTATGCAAATGAAGACTTAATTTGCATAACAAGAAAATGTTATAATTACATAGTGGTAATGTCTGGAATTTCATACTTGGGATATTTGAAACTTATGTGAAGGTGAACATAATTAACATAACTTATTCAAATAAGGAACTCATTTGCATAATTTATGAGAACATGCTATAATGGCATGCATTGATAAGATAAGACTTCTTGTGTAGAATATGATCAACAGAAATAATTGATGCAATATAGGATCCTATTTGCACAATCAGGGGGATTCATCTATAATTTCTTAGTCATAAAGGCTAACATCATTTGGCGAAGGTATGAGATCGTGGAACTCTAGTTAGGTATGTAGTTAGGCCAGTGTTCGGTATTCGGAAGGCCAGATTCGGCTATGTGTGACTAGCCTCTACCAGGCTAGGGGTGGGGGGGGGGGGGGTTGGGGTGGAAAGAGTAGAAATTGGCCAAATAGACAACTTGCCAGGAGAGTTGGCCCGCTAAAGTTTGCCACACCCTGTACTCTCTAGCAGACCAACTCTCCCGACATGTTATCTCTCTATTTGGCCAATTTCTACTCTTTCCAGCCGCCTCCCGAAGTCTGGTAGAGGCTAGTCACACATAGCTGAATATGGCCTCCCGAGTACCGAATACTGACCTAACTACGTATATACATTCTAGTACCGATGCGACATATCATTGCAATATCCAAGGACAAAATAGACAACAAAAAATAGGCTCAAACCACGAATTCTTCCAGTCTTCTACAAAGACTTGTGCAGTCAAAATTAGACCAGTCCTTTATTTTCTGAGTGGTACCCTAAAAATCAGCCCAGGACCCTTCCAGTAACCATTTCCGTCAGAATTTTGGAAATTTTTGCTCCATGAGGGTCAATATATATTGGGACAGTGTGGTTTAAACTCAGTATGTACTACATAAATGACTGGAATATTACCTTTGAAAAATAATCGGGTTTCTAAGCCCTAGAACTGTACTGGATGCCTTTAAGTTAAATTTTGGTTGCACAAGAGTCATAGAAGGTACAATTCATGTCTCTAACATGTTGGTTGTTTTGCAATGTTTGTTTTCATGTGTCCACATCGCATGGATACCGCGATGACAGATAGCATAGTTATGCAGCTATGATTTATGTATTTTGGACATCTCTGAGGCCCTGACCTTTATCCAACGCTTGATATGCCGTTTTAAAGTTAACCTGGGACCCAGATAGTTTCCAGGGCTCTTGGGCCTCTTTTAAAAGTCCTAAGAGCCCTGCCTGGTAGAGGCTAGTATCTGTATCTGTATAGCTGGTATAACCGTTCTTCGTCGTAAAACACCAGCTTCACAGGCACGCGGCGCGGCGGCAGCTGGCTATATCACACCGATTAGTAGAGGCATGCTGTCTACTCGGCCAATTTCTACCCTTCCAGCCGTTCGCGAAGCCTGGTAGAGGCTAGTAGAGGGATGTTGTCTGTCTACTCGGCCAAATTCTGAGCCAAATTCTTGTGGGGTCGCGTGGCGTAGCGGCAGAGTGCTCGACTAGGAACCAAGAGGTCTCGGGTTCGAGTCCTGACATGCCACCGATCTTGTGGGCTTAAGAAAGGCACTTTACACGACTTTCCTCACTTCGGCCAGGTATAAATGAGTATTGTATTGTCCCATGTGTTGGTGGCGGCATTAATATAACTTGAAAAAACTTATAAGTGTGCTGGCACCACGTCTTGTGATTACATGTTGGAATATAGAAAAATTCTTAACCCTTTCCAGCCTCTTCCGAAGCCTGTTATAGAGGCTATGACCAGGTGACGTCCCTGACAGTATACTGACCCCTCCCCTGTGCGTCGGTAAGACTACACCATACCGACCCATCACTCCAGGTCTTTTGTTTAAAAACGCCTACATGGCGCCGCGTCTGGATATGATGATGACATATGATCTAAGTACTGTCCATGTCTGGTCCTTACTCCTTAGATAGATATATCATTCTCCTTTTCTTTAGAGGAAAGTCAGAGACATGCAGAACGAGAAAGAGAAGAGAAAGAAAAAGACAGACGAAAAGGAAAATGAAGCTGAAAGGAAGGAAGATGTGAAATGAATAATAGTTCACGAGATATCAAAACCGGAGATTCCGCTGCAGTGCCATAAGAAGCTGCTAGGGGTCCAAAACCTATCCACCTACCAAGTTTCACGATTTGACATGTGTGTAGGTAAAATGCCTTATTTGAAAACATGGATTTTATAACGTAGAGGGGATTCATTCCTCAAGCTAACCGACATCTTGCACACGCAGTCGTCCCTCAGTAAGACACCTGGAGCCGCATAGTTCCTGTCTAGAGCTTTTATTCAGCCTGTCACACACATGAAAACATGGGTTTGCAAGCTTTTCGGAGAGGTTCCTCAGAAGTATGACAAAACTTTTGATAGTTTACGATCTTTTGATTTATCCGTTAACACCATAACAAGTTATTAACCACAAGTTTCACCACATCACAACATGAAAGGATGGACGTGCAGGTACTCAGAAGTATGACATAACTTTTGATAATTTATGATCTTATAATGTATCTGCAACACCTTAACGACTTATTAACCATACATATTAAGTTTCACGACCTAAAAACATGAAAGGATTGACGTCACAGCTGTTTTTTCAAAATGGCAACTAAATCAACTCCAACCACCAATTATCTATTTTTGCTTATAAACCTGCATTTCTCCTCTGGTCTCTTAGAGTCACTTATGAAAGCTAGTGGATACTAGCAGAAATGTCTGACCGTTTCCAAAATCATATCCAGTTGCTTGAGTAACTGCTTTTTGGCGTATCTTATTACCTGGATGTCTAACCTTCATCGACGTAACTACCACTTATTTTTCAAAATGTCACCTTTTCAAACACCGCTGGAGGCACAAAAAAAGCACTTCCATAAATCAACTCCAACAACCTGTTAGCAGAAATTTAGACTACACAGAAATGTTTGACTATCAAGTTTCAGAGATGCATAAAACGAGACGAGGTTTGATCACAATGTAATTAGAATAATCTGATCAGCCACGGGGAATAATAGTTCGTGCTGTGTGTGCTAAAAATATAGATCTCTGAAAAGAAAAGCTAGACAACTGGAGGGTCCCATTACAACCAGGCCTCAGGGTTAGGGATTAGCCCAATTATCCCTATTCAATAGAGTAGAACACCGGGTGTTGGTATGTTTAGGGCAAAATATAGTGATTAGGTTTTTCCCGGAATTATCAAAGAGAGAAACTTACTGCAAGCAAACATGTCAGTTCTACGTTTATTCGATAGTTTAGAATAAAAAAAACTTGGACAAGTTGCTCAGAGTGATCTTTTTTTCCCAACGTCACTGACAAAAAGAAAACGCCTGGCAGTTTTCAAAATCTATCCAGTTGCTTGAATTACATCTTGTGCCTTTTCTTGTGTATCTCATTACCTGGATGTCTAACCTACATCGGCGTGCCTTATGCTATGTCATATCCTTTTTTTTAATATAACTCTATCTTTTTTAGATTAACTACATTTGTGGAAAGATTGATATAACAGGTGGCTATCACCTCTTCAAGATGTCGACCCTGAGACCAGACTGTCAGGTTTGAACCACTCACACCAGGAAGGTCCCCTAGTCTGTTTTCGATAAGTGTGGTGGGATCTTTACTGTGCTCGAGGTGTGGCTATTCATTAGTTTCAAATGATGATCCAGATATTTAACAAATCGAATCAAGGAAATTATGTATCAGTAGATCATAATTGTCTTATTTGTAACGCCCTAGTGCATTTTTGCCTTATGTAAGTTTGGGCAGCTTGAAATGTGTTGGTGGTTGTCATCACCACAATCTCTGATGTACCATGATGACAAGAACAAATTTGCTCGACATAAGTTCGGAAATTAAATTTGAGCATAAACAGATTAAACTTAGCAGTAGCAAGTATTTCCAGAACACTGTAGTTTTCTTAATTTTTTCAACCTAGGACTACTCGAGTTATGATATTACACACACACACACACAAACACTCACACACACACACACACACACACACACACACACACACACACACACACACACACACACACACACACACACACACACACACACACACACACACACACACACACACACACACACACACACACACACACACACACACAAATATGGCCATGAAAACATACTAGTACTACATTTTGTAGTAGTCTTGTTGCATGTAGTCTAACCGGGAAATTCATTCTTCTCTCAATGGAATGGCGATATACTAGTAAATTGCACAACGTTATACATGTATTCAGAGACACTTGCAAGTCTCTTGGTCTTCTACCACCGAAAACAACAGGGTTTAAAGGATTACAGTTAAAACAAGCAGAAGAATCTACAAAAAAGACAAAAGTTTGACACAATTTTTGTCCCCAGAACGACCTATCACCTTTTTACCGGGTCAATACAAATCCCATCATCTACGCTAGCTTATCGCTGATTGGTGGTGGAAAAAAACGTTTGGGCAGGTCTCTTTAAATGATATCGTATTTGCGGTCTTCTGATTGGTGGAAAGACCTTTGGCCTTGTTGTCTTTAAATCCCGCGTTTTTCGCGCGTTCTTGTCTGGTGGAAAAACCTGTTTTAAGCCCTCAAATCTGCATAGCAACGGGCTGGAATCCCCAGTCGGCCACAGACAACCGTTCCCGGAGTCAGTCGAGCTGTGAGAAGTCACCACGCCGCACCTACTACCCGAGACCCCGACACGAGTCCACTCCACTCAACCGTGAACAGACCGAAAAGGTACCTTACTTGTGCTTTTTTTGTTGCTCTTTATTGTTTGTGTGCACGGTTTGTGGCGTAATTTGAGCGTTATGTATATATATAACCGTATTTTCGCGTTGTACATGCAAGTTCAGACGGAGTTTCTACCGGGGCACATGCCCGCTCTAGTCAGCCGTGAAGAGACCGAAGAGGTACCTTACTTGTGCTTTTTTTACCTGTTTATTGTTTGTGTGTACAGTTTGTATCCGTTTGTGGCGTACTTTGAACGTTATAACCGTATTTTCGCGTTGTACACGCAAGTTCAGACGAAATTTCTACCCGGGCACATGGCCATGCTTTACAAAAGAACTCCACCATAATCTCATCTCTTAATAATACTCCAAGCGTTGTCTGTAGGCCTAGTCTCTATCGGACTAACTACGCTGGCTATATATAGGAGAATATTTGCCAGTGGAATTTGGCCGCCTTGGGGTTTGACTGGGGTTTGACTGGCCGGGTAGCCGAGGGAAAGAACCAACCTTCCGTGGACTGACTCCTTGGCCAATTTTACTCTCATTTTTTGCCGAATTCTACGATCCCTATTCACGCAGAAAGGCTAGCCTCCGTAGCAGGCTTATAGAACTAGGTGTTTGGTGGTCTTCGACTGTTTTCTGATTAGCCCAGTTAAAAAAACGGGGGTAATTCAACCAGGCCGGCTAGTATGTCTATATGCAGTCAGAAAATAGCACATAAAAGCTCCCAAAGACTCTGAAGACCACCAGTTTTCGGCATGCTATTTAAGCTACACTAGACGGCGTCCGTAAAAAAGATTCGTTCTTAATTAATCCAGGAGAATTGTTGAGCAACTTGTGAAACGTCTGGTTGCACGGCGGTCCGACCACAGCGTCTAGTAGTAGGGAGGAACATCGAGATCAAGCGCACGCCGTCTGCTAACTTTCTGGGGGGACCCCGTTCCATTCTGTACCGCTCCGAACAAGATTTAAAATCTTATTTCAAACCTCCTTGCTCAGAAGAAGACCTTAGTAAGGCCACCGAAGGTAAATAACAACTTAAAACGCTGTAAAAGTTTACGAGTTAAAAGTTTACGCCGTAAAATTATTGTGCAGGGCGATAATTGTTTCCCGTAGGCGATGCCACCACAGCCGCTTCCATAGCATGCCAAAACTGGGGGTTTTCGGGGTCTTTGGGAGCTCTTACGTGCTATTTTCTGGCTGCATATAGACAACATAGCCGGCCTGGTTGAATTACCCCCATTTTTTGAACTGGTCTAATCAGAAAACAGCCGAAGACCACCAAACCCCCAGTTCTATAAGCCTGCTACGGAGGCTACACAGCCGCTTCGTTCGTGTGTTAACTATCGGGCACTTATCTTTCTTTCTTCAACACAAAAGACGAAGACAAGTCGGACTAGACGCACCAACGCTTGAAGTCAAAGTTCACGAGTGTGTAGAATGTGTTAAAAGTGCACCGGAGTGTTTAATACTAGCCTGAGTGTCAGCCATTTTAGCTTTCGTTCGCTCGATCCCCGCGATTTGACAAATTTTTGCATGGGCGGTAGCGAATCGTTAGCCTGGGTGCCTTCCTAATTGTATGCCAGGGCTCCCAAAATTTTAGGGAGCGAATATGGAGCCCTGGCATACATATAGAAAGGTACCCAGGCTAGCGATTCGCTACTGGCCAAAAATTTTGGCATCCACGGGATAGCGAATCGTGGGGAGTGGACGAAAGCTGGGAAAAAGCCTGACACTCGGTCTAGGGTTCTTATCGATTCTTATCGAAACAAGAATCGCGAAGGCTGAACCGCGAGCCGTTTTGAACTAAAAAGAACGAGTAAAGTAAGAACTTCGTTGGCGTGTCTAGCATCCTTCGCAGACTTGTTGGGTGGCGCCATTATTTTTTGTTGTTGGAGCGGGAAACCTTCTCTCCAATGCAAAAACTCCCTCCGCGGCATAACTCTCGTCTCTCACTGAAAAAAAAAAAACGCCGCCGCCCCACAACCAAAAGTCTGCGAAGGAGGCTAATATTTTTTGTCGGTTCGATTCGACACATTTTGGGGCGGCAGCGAATCATTATCCTGGGTGCCTTCCTAATTGTATGCCAGGGCTCCCAAAATTTTAGGGAGCGAGTATGGATGATTCAGTACCGCCCAAAAACGTTGGCATCCAGGATAGCGAATCGTAGGGAGCGGACGAAAGCTGCAAAAAAGGCTGACACTCAGTCTTAAGGTGTTCCCCTCTGATTTCAGAGTCCTTCACTAAAGGTTCAAGATTTTTATCGAAACCAGAATCGCGAGATCTGAACCACAATTCTTTTTGAAATAAAAGATAAGAGTACAATTTTTGTCGCTTCATCAGTGTGTACGTGTCTTCGCTTGACATTACTTATATTTACTACCTGAAGCTTTCTACAAAGGTCAGTTTTTGCCGGAATGTGTGAACTCTCCGTAACCCCGTAGCTAGCTGCGGACAGACAAATACATTTTTTTGACAACTGGCCTTGAAAAACTGATAAATGGACAATTTATGTTAATGCCAGGTGCCCCCGTAGCCTGGTAAAGATACCATGATACCGGGAGCACCCCAGGTATCTCTGCGGGGCTGGGAGTGTTCCCCGCCCGCCCAGGTGCATTAGCCTGCGCCGGTGATTTTTTTTACGGTCTCAGATCCCGAACGAAGAGAGTAAAGTTGAAGATCGTAAATTTGAATGGCCGACTTGAAAGACAAGCTGTCGGAAAAGTACCCTCCAAGCAGAGGAAAGGCCTGTTTTTTGCCGACTTTTGAAGGCTTTCTTTAGGCGTTTTGCCGCCCTCTGTATTTTGTCTGGCTTTTCATTGTTTGGCTTTTCTTGTCCTGTTACTAGAAGCTTTGTTGGTTGGTTTGAGCGTCAAACTGGCCCTAAGGTAAAACACCAGAGCAGGTTCTACACGTAATACGCAGCGGGGTGCCAAGAAGCAAGCCCTTTGCGACAATTTTGGCGGGCTCGTTAAAAAGTGCAACAGAAGTGCTACACCTGTATCTTTATCTGTCTCCACACTCGCGTCAGGCGCTGTGCAAGCCAGAATCTTCGCTTTGTAGACTATTGACTGTCATCACTATGGTAACGAGGAAGACTTGCAGCTCATTTAACTTCACCCAGTGACCGCAGGTAACCCCGTGTTGGGTTCCACTGACGTCACATGGTGGTGGGTGTATACCAGCCCTACTCTCCGAGCAGGGGTTTGGGCTTTGGCTTTTTTTGACGCGTTTTCATCGTTTTTATTCGTTTTTTTTTTGTAATTTTTGACGAGTATTTTCAGCCTTTTTACTCGGCTTTTTTGCACTGGTATCATTTTTTTCGCCAGCTTATCGTATGTTTGAAGCCACCCAAAGATCTGCTTGGAGATTATTTCGGATTGCCAATCCGGTTCCAAGAGGTGGCTTGGAACAAACCGACTTGAGTCGGATTTAAACCGGTTTGAAGCTTCTATGTTCACATAATTAATTTGACTTGATTTTGTGAACACGAACAGTGCTTTTCCGTTTTTTTTTTTCACCTGCAAATTCCGTAAAAAAAAGAAAGCGAGACCTACAAAGAGGACGTCGGTGAAGGACGTCCAAAGTTAGACAACTTTTTTTACGTGCGCCTTTTGTCTTCTAACTTATAAATCTTCACCTGCACATTAAACAGTCTCATTTCTTTTGTGTTACAATTTAAAAGCAATTAAGACCTACAAAGACGACTTAGGTGAAGGACGCCCACAGATAAGAAACTTGTAAATCTTCACTTGATCATTAAACTTTCTCATTTGCATTGCGTGTTTGTCTTTAATAAGGACGTTGGTAGTAAATATAACAATTTTCCCCACAACTTTGCAGGTTTACAATACCAGAAGGTTGTAACGTTTGACCCGGTCATTGACCCGACATACATGTAAACCCAGTTGTATGCCCCTTCTGTAGACACGCATCATTGAAAAGCGTACAAGGCGCGCTATTAAGATCTGTATCTGTATAGCCGGTAAGATCAACCTTCAGTGTAGCACAGCAGCTTCTGTATCAGTATGTCTTTTTACCTGATTTGTACTCATTCTAGCTTCTTCCGAAGCCTGGTAGAGGCTAGGTATAACCAGCCGCCGGTGTAAAACACCAGCTCCTATCACACCCACCCTTTGTACATGTAACAAAACTTAGTTTAGTGATGATGCCCCTACTGTACTTGAATTGGTGACAGCGAGTCTGACTCTAATACAGCTCTAGGTAGGTCTTCGGAATATGTCCCACTTTTGTCGGTAAAACGTAGGTAAATTGGACGAATTTTGTCACGATGAAAAGAGTTGTCATAAAAACAAACAAACAAACAAACAAATAAGTTAATGTAGCACGAGTAGATAGATAGCACATCATCTGTCTTCCATGGATGCCGATTTCCGGAAAAGCAAACTCTTGAGATTAAACAAAAATCGTTGCTATCAACAGATGTTACTCGAGATCCGTTGGGACACTCTTCTAAAAGGTCGGCATGACCTGTTTTTTTGTATAACCTGTAATTATAAAGATATGTCCGGTCACCCATCATCTACGGTCCGCTGGCAATCCACAATAGCCGTCAACACGGAATTCAGCCACCCTCACGCGATGAAAATTCTCTTCAGAATCAGTGATGTTGTCACAGCTTGTCAAATATGCAAATTAACATCTTTTTGGTGTCAGGACGAAACTTTGTAACGCGTCCAGACCACCCGCAGCTTCGTTTTATTCATAGTATTTCCCAGTTATCTATAATCTGATAAGGAGTTTTAAGACTATTTGTATGGTAGAATGTGGCGAACCATGGCGAATAACGAAAATATTCTTGTTATTTAGTTTGGCTATGTTTGTAAATGATATTTTGTATGTTCCCTAAAACTACGTAATTCAGCCTTTGTACATTGCATTGTATTATTAGTCTGCAATATTGTTTTAGTTTTATGTCAATTTGCAAATAAACCATTTATATATGGCTAAGACAATTTCTAAAGCCAATTGCCAAAAACCTTTTTGTTTGTGCCAGAAACTTGGGGTATATTTTCAGCCAGTCTGGCCCCTCACATCGTAAAATCACCTGTTCTAAACGTATAAATGTCTATTAAAATCGTCATGTCCGCCCATGACCGTAGCCAGGATTTTGAATGGGGGTGGGGGGGGGTCGTCTTCCCATTGCTTGAGGGGACCTCGGGGTTCCTAGAGGTTCCAAGGGGGGTCCGGGGGCATGCTTCCATGGAAAATCTAAAATGGCATTTCGTGCATTTGTGACAGGATTTCCAAGAAAAAATCAGAGATAAATTTTTATTCAATGACAAAGGGAGCAGTTTTTCTACGATTCCAGTTCACCTTTTCAAGAAAAATCTTGGACCTTCTTCCGAATCCCCCGACACCCCTGGCTACGGGCATACTACCTCACCGAAAACTCGCACAGATGCAAATGCAGAGTGAAGTAACCCCTGGAGAAAACCTTTCAGGAGATGAAATTGATTAGAAATGGTCTCTTTTACGTGATAACGAGTTTTTATAAAACAATTTCCCAAGCCAAGACAATTTCTTATATCTATTGAAAACTTTCTTGTGCCAGGAACTCGCAAATTTTGGGTATATTTTTCTTTCTCAAGAGTCAACCTGACCTTTTACGTTGCAAAAGCACCTGTTGTAATGAAGAGATATCCATTGAAATCCTCATGTCCACTTCATCGAAAAATTAGACTAGATGCAAATACATAAAGTATGTAACCCATTGGAAAAAATCTTAGGGGAGATGAAATTTATTAGTCGGGGGCAAAATGTTAGGGACAAAACAAATTAGCTCGTTTGTAGATTGGCCATTTTACGACATGTGTGGTTAACCCTTATTGTCAAAGTTGACCCCAAAAGACATTTAACGACATTTTAACGACATATTATCGACATTTTCATCCATTTATGGCTTCAAGTTGAGTTATGGTGATTGAAGATCCAAAACACATTGACACAAAAAGCCTCAACCACATGAAAAACAGTACCTCGTTGACGGAAGTAACTAAGACATTCTTACATCGGAAGAGCCTAAAACTTACACACGCATCTACTGTGTATACACAAACAGTGGGATAAAGTGTTACAGTTACAGTTTAAAGTTAACCTTAGAGCAATTTTAACGACATTTTAACGACATAATTTCGACATTTTCACGACTCTTTCATTAATTTATTTGGCTTCTTGAGTTATGGTGGATGAAGACCGAAAACACATTGACACATATCTCAGACAACCCCCCAAAAGCTAATTGGACAGACCACATCAAAAACATCACCTCCTTCACGGATGTAACTAAGGCATTCTTAGAGCGGAAGCAACCTCAAACATGCACACACATTCATTGTATACACACAAACAGTAGGTAAAGTGTTACATGTATCAGATGGCAGCCCTGAGCGATGAGCATAGCCTCTACCAGGCTTCGGGAGGCGGCTGGAAAGAGTAGAAATCGACCAAATAGACTGATAACATGCCAGGGGAGTTGGTCTGCTGGTAGAGAACATTTCTACTCTTTCCAGCCGCCTCCCGAAGCCTGGTAGAGGCTACGATGAGCAGTAGGGTAAAGCGTTACATGTATCAGATGGCAGCCCAAAGCGACGAGCAGGCATGTGTGATGTACTGTCTGCGATAATTGGCGCCACCACTCTCCAATTAACTCTCATCTGAAACGCCCTGTTAATTACCCCCTCGCGGCCATGTAACTACGGCCTTATGGCAGCATTTTCTAGCCTCTACCAGGCTTCGGGAGG